ACTGTATATATAATGTGTTCACAAACTCACAAGACAGAATCTTGAGGAAAAACTTTGAAATATTTATAACATTTAAAAATTATAAGTTTAAGTCTTAATAGTAATGTACTTGGTCTTAAATATCTCTAAATTTTTCAGTATAAGGCCAAGTATGCTTTACTTTTTATAAACTATATTTGATATACTTTAAAAATAGTAAAGTGAACTTCAAGTACACTGCCTCATTTTCAGTGTAAAATAAGTATACTCGTAGCACACTTAAATGAACTACTCTTTGCTAACGGGTGTCAGTGACTCCGATCACCAGTGACGTGTAAATGAGGGGCCAGGTCGCAACAAAAATATTGCGGTTTCACTGATAACCAAGCTCCGTGTAATTATTGCTATGAACTCTCATGCTAAAGAGGTACGAGACCACGCACCTGGCAAAACCTAACGCCAGAGTTCACTCCTCCAGACGCTAAGAAAACAGGAGGGGGAGGGGTCAGTCGAGCACAGAGAGGGAGAGACGAATGTAAACAAGCAGGGAAATGAAAACTATCGTCCTCATTTATCGACCTCAAAATAATTTCTCATACGGCTAATTGATTTATTGATTATCGTGACAGGCACTGAGGAGCTACTACTCTCCACATGCTTAGCTAAAAAATGCAAACCTTCCATCAGCCAGCTGCAGCAGGTCAGCTACATATGGATCGTCAGGCTGAGGGACAGGATAGGCTGATGTAGAGGAGGAAGGTACGAGCTCATCGATCTGCATTCTCTGTCGTCTGAAAGGAACACTGAGCTTCTTTCCTCCTGGGAAAGAAAGAAAGAAAGAAGAACGAAAGACGTGAGTGTCAGTCCACTCCTGTTCTCTGGATGCTATCACCAAGTGTTACCTGGTGTCTGCACAACAGCTTGCATGTTCTTTTCCTGCAGCTGTTGAATGCGCTCAGCTTTAGCCTTGCTGTCTTTCTCCAGGCAGCGGACCTTCAGCACGTACTGGTTGTTTAAAAACTTCAGGTCCGAAGTCTCGTGGTCCAGTTTTCTAACATGAGTTTTCAGCTCTGAGGAGTACAGACAGGGGTGTGCAGAGTTAACAGTCAGTTTGTGCTGTGCAGGTGAAGCAGAGTCAGTTTGTGTTGTGCAGGTGAARCAGAGGGGCATGGTCTTTACCTCTAACGGTCCGGTCTTTGTCCTCTCTCAGTTTCAGGAGCTCCAGGTGCAGCTGGTTGTTTTCCCTGACCAGCTTGGCGTTCTCCGTCCTGTGGGGCTCCAGCAGGGCATCCATGTTTCGGCTTTCCTTCTCTGTCTTTCCTGCTGACAGTTTGGCATTGCGTAGGCTCTCTGTTGTGTGGACCAGATCACTGCAACACAAAGGATGACTCTCTAGATCAGGGGTCTCCAACCGTTTTTTCCTTAAGAGCTACTTTCGCTCAATGAAATTGTCCAAGAGCTACTTTTTAGCAACATTTAATTTTAAACTTAAACCATTTCAATAAGCTTGTTTTGCACAAAAAACCATTGTCTTCAATTCACATGAAACCATCACAAAGAACACTGAATTTACATGAATGTGTTTTTTGTGTTTATCCATTCATATTACAGTGTATTACACACTAACTTGTGCATAAAACACGTCAGGTGACGGGTCTCCAATTTTTTTTCTGCATTGTAGACTCCAGCGGGAAGAAACCCTGTGCAGTGACATAAACCACAGGCAGTTAGGGGTTTCCCAGGAGCTCAGGACATAGTGTCTTAAAGGGGACCTGTTATGCAAAATTCTCTTTTTAAAGGTTTTTTACTCAACTTTAGGTATGTACTTCTTAAAAAAACAGTCCTAGGATCAAACAAATGCACCGAGGGGCATATTTACTGTAAGTAAATGTATTTTTAATGTATATTAATGACAAGTTTCATACTTCTGTCATTTTGTGATGTCACAAGCCGTACGACAACCCACCAGAACCTGCGTTCAGCCCCTTACCTAGCAACCCCCAGGTGAAGCTCCACCTCCTCAGTATAAAAAGCCGTCACGGTTGTTGTTGTGTAATGTGTAGCTCATTTCACAATAGGCCTCCAATAGGGCAATGGGTAGAGTGTTGGACCAGAGAGTGGGAGACCAGGGTTCAAAACCGGTACGGAGACTGTTTAATTACTTATTTATTTTCATTCGTTATGAACACGTTTTCTCATGTACCTCTATTGTTTAGCTTATTAAAGCCTTGTT